TTTTTTCAATGAAAAAGACATTGGTAATTTGGGATTTAAAAAATTTAAGGATAAAAATGTCCAAAAAAAACTTTACTTAATTACATTAATACAACTAAAAGTAAAAGTATCTCCTCTGCTTCAAAAAATTATCTTTTAATTTTAATTTTTTTCTTAACTATCTCAACAATATTTTTGAATACTGAGAAGTGCAAAAGTGATTTTGTAGAACTGTACAATACCACCTAAGGCGGATCAAGCTTTCTTTCTTCTCTCGGCCCTGGCCATTGTCAATTGACAATTTGCCCCTAAGCTTTCCAGTAAGCAAAGTTACTTTTTACTGAATGTCATCCCCACAGTTGATGAAGTTTAACAACCATCTCTTTCTATTTCATAAATGATATATCAAGAAAATTTATTGCTTTTCCTTTTGCTTTTATGCCCAATCACATAAACATTAAAGATTATTTGTTCGGCAAAAATTGTCCAAAAGTCAGTTTTTTAATTGTTTGATTTCACATCAAACAGTTAGTTCATAAAAGTGTTTAATTGACATTTTAAAAAGTAAACTTTCTTAATTTATAATTGCATAATTCATCTTAAAAATTTAGCTTTTGTCTCATAACGGGACACCTAAACGAAAATGTTGAAATTTTACTTAATAACCAAATATGTAGCATAATGTATACCACAAACACACGCGTATTGGTCAACGAAGTTCTCTAAATTTTGAGACCTTTAAAGTAATATTAACAAAAGGGTAAGGGTAAACGTTGGAACTTGAATATAAAGTGGGACCCACGACTTTCTATTGGATTTGGGACTAATGAGCTTCCCTGAGCCAACGGGCAACAGGTATGAGTTGGTTGCAAAACCTATGGCTCCTTCCTCATATTCGTCCAACTTGCATTAAATTATGCCCACCTGCATTCGTCTGTCTCTTGGAACCCCATCTACCTTCTTCCACCATCTTCAAGTAAAACTAAAAAGAAACTCATATAAAATTAAAATTAATTCACAGATTATGACATAATTTAATGTCAAAATATGACCAGATATTAATAAAAATAAATTATATAATTCAGCAACAATGTCATAAATCGGTGTAGAAGTGCTGAATTATTTGTATGATTATTTTAATATTTAATAAAAATATTTGAATTACTTGTATGATTAATTAATAGTTAATATTTATATTTTTGTCTTGCACTTTTTTCTTTCTGTTTTTGGTTAATTGAAATTCTTTAGTATTTTGAGTTGATCATGGATCCTGTCGTCCACACAGAGCCCTGTTCTGTTGAAAGAGGTTTAGAAGGTTGAGACCCACCTCAGATCTCTCAAAACTTTGACAACAGCAGCAGCGGATTCGGCTGCTTGCCTTTGTATTTTTCACCTTCAAATCAGGAAAAATCCAGAGGTACCCTACTCTGCAAATCCACTTGTTGACCGTTCTCGACCAAAGAAATCATCAACTCATAGCTATCACTTGGCGGTATCTGCTCACCATCTCCTCGTTTTCACCATTAATGGCGGTCTACGAGCTTTCCTCACAAAGTCTGGCTTTTTCCCCAATTGCGTCTTCCTTCGTGGCTTAGTGAAACGAACCCAGTAATTGTTTCTAGCTTTATCTTCTTGCCTGGTCAGAACTCTGGTGGGTCTTTGGTCATTTTTGGTGAAATTGTAGGAAGGTGTGTATGACTTGTGAAGACTAGCATCCATCTTCTCTCTTCGCCGATTTTCTTCTCCTCTTTATTCAACTTGACCCTCAATTTTGTATTTGTTGCGTTGGTAGGCCTCTTATCTTAATTCAAAGGTATGGTTCCTAACTGCCCGCAATTGAATCTGATTCACCTTCACGTCTCCTTGATCGATTTGTGGATGTGAGAGAGCTCTGGGTTGTGTAATTACTGGTTACTATGGTGAAAAAACATGTTTGGTTCAATTCCCTAGTATAATATTCAGGATTGCCTCATTAGCTGACAGGCTATTTTTCTTTGTCTTGTTTTGCCCTTCCTGTTCCTCTAATTTGGATTCATCTTCTTTCATCTTGGCCCATTATTTCTATGTTCTTCTTGTATGGTCTGTAACTCTCCTATGTTCAGTTGAATTTTTCCTTTTGATCATGGAAACCCGGTTTTATTTCATTTAATGAGCATTTATATCTTCCTTCTGCTTCTCTGTGGATCTTGTATGGGCAGTATTCGAATTATTGGCCAGATGAAAACCAGGTTTTTCGAGGGACTCAAATGAATTGGATAGATAATGATGGTTTGTTTCTTCTGTCCAACACCTCGAATTTCGCCTTGGGCTTCAAAACTACTGCGGATGTAACTTTGTTTCTGCTCGCTGTCCTTCACATGGGCACTCAGAGTGTAGTGTGGTCTGCAAATAGGGCCTCGCCAATTCACAATTCAGATAACTTCGTGTTTGATGATTCTGGAAACGCCTACTTACAAATGGGGGGGGAAAACTATTTGGTCCACAAATACTTCTGGCAAAGGAGTTTCTCAAATGGAATTGTTGGATTCAGGCAATTGGTCTTGCGTGGCAAGGACAGCGGAGTAGTTTGGCAGAGTTTCAGCCATCCAACGGACACCCCTTTTATCTAACCAGAGCTTTGAAGAAGGGATGAGATTGGTAAGCAATCCCAGCAACAATAACTTGAGCTATTTCCTTGAAATCAAGAATGGGGATATGATTTTATATGCAGACTTTCCAACTCCACAGCCTTATTGGTCTTTGAGCACTGAAACGGAAAAACTATCAATGCTGATGGTGGTCCGGTCACTTCAGCGTCTCTAGTTACCAATTCGTGGAGCTTCTATGATCAGAAAAAGGTCTTACTGATGCAATTTACATTTTCGCTTAACACCGACCCTAATGCCACTTGGATTGCTGTTTTAGGAAAACGATGGTTTCATTACTTTCACCAATCTTCAAACTGGAGGCACAGGTGACACTTCACCAACTAAAATTCCGGCAATCAGTGTAGTACCCCCGAACCTTGTGATCCATATCTTGTTTGTTACAGTGAAAATATGTGCCAGTGTCCTCCTGTTCTTAGCTCTAGCTCCCAGTCTAATTGCAAACCAGACATTACATCGCCGTGTAATCACTCGAAGGATTCTTTACAACTAGTAGAAGCCGGGAATGGGCTCAGCTATTTTGCACTCCATTTCGTTACGCCCACCTCTAAAACTGATTTAGACGGTTGCAAAGCCTCTTGCAGCAGTAATTGCTCGTGCCTTGCTCTCTTCTTCGATCAGCACTCAGGGAATTGCTTTCTTTTTGACGGGATAGGAAGCTTCCAAAAAATCAAGTAATGGTGCTGCTATGTTTCATACATCAAGGTTTTGAGTAGTGGAGGAGGTGGTGGGGGAAGGGGTGCTGGAAGTAGCTCAATACGTTTCCCGTATGTCATCATCATAGCTATCGTGACGGTGCTAGTTATCCTAGGTCTACTTTTTGGTGGATACCGGTACTATCGCAGGAAGAAGAGAGTGCCAGAGTCACCTAAAGACGCATCCGAGGAAGATAATTTCTTAGAGACCTTATCTGGGATGCCCATACGTTTTAGTTACAAGGATCTTCAAACTGCTACCCAAAATTTCTCTGTAAACTCGGGCAAGGAGGCTTCGGCTCAGTTTACCGAGGGGAGCTTCCGGATGGAACTAGACTGGCCGTGAAAAAGCTGGAAGGAATCGGTCAGGGAAAGAAGGAATTTCGAGCTGAAGTTAGTATTAATTGGGAGTATTCACCATTTACATTTGGTTAGATTGAAAGGCTTCTGTGCTGAAGGAACTCACCGGCTTCTTGCTTATGAGTACATGGCAAATGGCTCTTTGGATAAATGGATATTTAGGAGAAACAAAGAGGATTTCATCTTAGATTGGGATACCAGATTCAACATAGCGTTAGGAACAGCTAAAGGACTGGCGTATCTCCATGAAGACTGTGATGCCAAGATTGTCCACTGCGACATAAAGCCTGAAAACGTTCTCTTGGATGGCAATTATCTTGCAAAGTCTCAGATTTTGGTTTGGCCAAGCTTATGACAAGGGAGCAGAGTCATGTGTTCACAACACTGAGGGGTACAAGGGGTATCTGGCGCCAGAATGGATCACAAACTATGCCATATCTGAAAAGAGTGATGTTTATAGCTACGGGATGGTGTTGCTTGAGATTATGGGGGAAGAAAAAACTATGACCCTTCAGAATCTTCAGAGAATCACATTTTCCATCCTATGCTTCAAGATGATGGAAGAAGGGAAGCTGAGGAGCATTCTTGATTCTAAGCTGCAGATAGATGACGAGGACGAAAGGGTAATCACGGCAGTTAAAGTAGCTTTGTGGTGTATACAGGATGATATGCACCTAAGGCCACCCATGACAAAGGTAGTCCAAATGCTTGAAGGTCTCTGCGGCGTTCCTCTGCCACCAACTGCATCCCAAACGGGTTCCCGTCTTTATTCGAGTCTGTTCAAGTCATCAGCGAGGAGGGCACGAGTTCTGGACCATCAGACTGTAACAGTGATGCCTATCTTTCTGCCGTGTGACTTTCAGGGCCGAGGTAGCGGTTGTGCTTAAGCGTTGGAGGTCTAGCTTGGAACTTCTCTTCAGCCGTCACATGTAGAACAATCATTTTCATTTTTTGTTACTGTATATTTGTTAGATTACTCGAAATTTTGTGACAGTAAAGCTTGAGAATCTTTGTGCATTAGTTCTTAACACTGTAAAAAGAAGAGCAAAGAGTGCCTTGAAATAAAGTATAATTGTTCAATCTCACAACATCTTGCTTCCAGCAGCCAATCTTATTACACAATCTTGACATCAACATTCCCGAATGACGTGTGGACTGCAGTCACAAGCACAAATGATTGAAATTACTTTATTTACTGGAATAACTTTCTTCTAATCTGGGTTATATTTGAAATTAAGTTCTATTTTATAAGCACAAGCTTATCACCATGGTAACAGAACCCAGTTGATGCTAAAATTTATGAAATAAAAAATAAAGAACAAAGGAGATAGAGGATAAAAGCTTATTCTCTCCCTTTTTTTTTTCTTTCCTCCCACAAAATCAGAATCCAATGATGTGGGCTTCATTCATTTTTTTAGCAGCAGGCTTCCCCTATTGAACCGGGCTCTGCATATATCCATATCTACAAGTATTGTTTGAAAGCGAGACCTTTGGCTTTTCTCCCGCATGTATGCAATTGTTGACTGTGGTTATTTCTGAATTGTGTCAGTGAACTCTTCCTTCCAAAATGAATGAAACGGATAGGAACAGCTGACCCTGAGCTGACCTTGAGAATAAGTGTGGGGTTGCACAGACAAGCGTGAGCTGTGAAGTGTGAAGTCACTAAACATGGGACAAGCTGGATAGCATTTAACTTGTCATTGCTGACAAAAGATTTGCAATTTTCTATGTATTGATTTCCAGTGCACGAAAGCGTACAACACCATTAAGGGGAGTCACAAGAACGCTTTCAAGGTGTACTCTCATTCTCTACCCCTGACCTCGGTGGATTTTGATTGAGGTAAGCTTCAACAACCGTAGTCAAGTTCCATTAGAGGATTTGTGGCCTTGGACTAGAAACTTATCAGGGTCAGTTCATCAGTTGTGGTCTCAAGTTCAATGTTCTGTTCACTGCAAATTTGCAATTCTGCCTGTGGTTTGACACCCAAATGCGGCATTATTTTTAAAATTTAAAAAAAATTGTAAATACATTTAAAAAAAGAAAAAAAAATAAAATAAAAATAAAAATAAAAATAAATTATATATTTTTAACACACTAAATATTCATTTATTTATTTTTGGATTAGAATGGGGAGAAGCTCATATTTAGTATTTAATTTAGTGGTATGTGGAGTTTGTTTCATTTAAAATTTAAACATATTTTAAATCAATTTTTAAATTTAAGTGGTTGAGTGTGGAATTCTATCCTATGTATTTGTTTTTCAAATGTACAAATATATCTAATTTTGAGGTGGTGTTTGCACTAACTTAGGAAATTACTTTTGCACAGTCGGAGGCACAAAAGTGCTTATATACTATTTCGATTGTTACTTTTAACTTTCACTTTCATTTTTTAAGTTAAAAAAAAAATTGAAGCAAAAGGAGAATTTTGAAATGGGAGAATGGGTGCTTCTATGATAGGTGACATTTTTGTAAAATAAATAGAAATTGTTCTAAAAGTGTTTGAATTTATCTTAAGATATATTGCAATATTACCCTCATTTTGTGTTTCTCTTCTCCCCTGTCCCCTCGGCATGTGGCCTTCTCTAGCTTCTTACTCAATTTTGACTAAGCTCTACAACTTGACAACATACTCAGGCCAGAGCAACTATTAACCTTCACCGATTGCTGTGTGGTACAGGAATCCCCGTCACATGCCCTCTTCCACTCACTCAGTCTCCCTCCCCACCCGTTCTTATTTGTATGTCCTGCGGGTGTGCATCCCTCTCTAGCATCTTCCTCAGCTCCAACTGAACTCCTCGATCGTTGACAGCCGCAAAGTGCCTTGTTTTCTTTCCACTGAACTGCAGTAAGCTGTGATGAATCTAGGAGTTTGGTTAGTGGGTTGAGAAAAGGATGTGGAAGGAAGGTGATTGAAAGATGGAGGATGGTCTTCAATCCCAAATTCATCCCTTGTCTTCAATTTCTTGGGCTCGCAGCAAAAGAAACTTTGTGAGAGAATAGATCAAGGAAATAGAAAAAAAATATACTTTTAATATAAAAATTGAGAGCAGTGTAATCTTTTTGAAGTAAATATCAAATTCTAATTTTATAAAAGTATTTTTTAAACACCACTAAGTGCTCGGCTCTCTCCTTAATGCCTGAAGACTTATGAGGTGTTTGCAAATGTTTTTAAATAATCAAATATACGTACTTTAAGTATAAGTAGGTAAAATTAAATTTTAATTAGTAAAAGCGAGTATTTGTAAATATATATAAAAAATTGATATAATAAAAATAATGTTTGATAAATAATTTTTATAATTTACCGTCATTAAAATATCCTCAATTTCTTTTTTATTTTCTATTTACAATTTTTGTTTTCCTCTGAAGGGGGAAGCAACTCCTGTTAGGCCAATCCTCATTGTTGCTGACGTCTTCCTCCTCAACATTTCGGTATGAAATTTTTCGATTCCCTCAAATCCTTGGTTTTTACCGTTGTCCTCCTCCTCCTCCTTAGCACCTCATATTGGTAAACGTCCTCCATCACACGGTGACGCTCTCACTCCAATTGCTTGCAACTTCTTGGTTTCTCTTTTCCTTTACTGCCTATGCAACTTTGACTAAGTGGTTTGATTTGCATCCGTCAACGCTGTCAGTGTTAGGGCCCCAACCCAGACCCTGATCGGCACTAGGGTTCCCGACCCTAGCCAGCCTTGCCATCGTACAATATACTCTAAACTAGCCCAAACATTTATATATATATATATATATATTTCAAAACTATCATTTACAAGCCAGGATCCTGCCTGAAGGGATAAATGGAGTTCTAGAGTACAAAACAATAAACAGATAACTCGCCCGTACAATGACTGGAGTGGCAGACGATCATCTCGATTCTGACACGTAATCCGAGAACTACAATCTATATCTGAAAAGTTTTATAATAAGTGAGTCGCAAAACTCAGTGGTGTACGGACGATACCTACTCTATGCATGTCAGAATGTGCATCATGTCACAATTTAAAACTATACTGACATATATAACAATTAATTAACACATCAACTATACTTTGAGAGATACCACTAATCACGCGTCACATTACATCACATTACATTGCAACATATCAAATCACATCACAACACTGGACCCAGGTCTACTCACACTAGACGTTATGGATCGCTGTACTCCAGCCGAGTTCCTGGCATCGCCAAAATCACTCCGACCCAGGCCACTCACCACTGGACGCTACGAAACACTGTACTCCAGCCGAGTTCTTGGCATCGCCAAATCACACACGACCCAGGCCACTCACCACTGGACTACGGATTTGTACTCTAGCTAAGTTCCTAGCGTCCCCACATCACATCACATCGCACAACACCATCCACATGCGCAAGTCAGAAACATACAATACTACGATCATATACCAACATAAAAATATTACACAGATCTGGAAGTTCAATGATCACTGAGACTCTGGCCTCGATCGGAGGAATTCTCTGTCTACGATCAGGCCCCAACACGATCACATATCACGCTCACGGTTGAGAGGTATCCTCTATCTCACAACCAGAGTCACACGCCTACCAAGGGCACCACCACACGCTCCCGATCGAGAGGCATCCTCCATCTCACGACTGGAGCCACACGCCCCAAGGGCACCACCACACGCTCCGGTCGAGAGGCATCCTCCATCTCACGATCGGAACCCACATGGTCTCAGCGCATCATGAACTCCCCGCACATCCACACAACAAACATACAACAATATATTCCCACCAAACAGAAAATAGCACATAATACATATCAAACGATTCATGTATCAAGATACAGTTTATGAATCCATACCATCATCATGCTAGGAAACCAGGCACACAAAAATACATGCACAGAGAGGGTATCATCACTCACCGTTGGCCGAGTCTAACAAAAGCCTCAGATCACGTCAATCAACCCTCCGGTCCCGATACTCCTCCACAGGTGAATCTGAAGTCAAAACCATACAAACCGTCACCGAGCTCATTGTCAGTACCCAAACGGCTCGACAGTCCCATACGGGACTTAAATCCCATTCCTGTAATTGACACGCATCTCGAGACACCCTTACCCATCACCGAATCCTGTGCGACTCACTAATACTCATACTTTGGCTTAACAACCCTTAATAGTAAAGGACCAGCCTCCACAACCCCCAACCCACAATGAAACCAATCTCTGAAACCCCGAAACGGCCTAACCCGATCCTAAAACTATCTTGAACTCAACTTGATTGGCTACGAACCCTCAAAAATGGATTTAGAAGGCCAAAAACTTAAGAACATATTAACCTGGCCAAAAACCTTTAAGGTTAGGCCGACCGAGCCAAAAACCCTAATTTGAGACATTAGCACAAAACTGAGGCCGGTTCACCTTGACCAGACCTTCAAACATTACCAAATTCCACGGTCAACTAAGTTTTATTATATTGAATAGGAACTGGGTCAATCTCCCAAATATTGGCTCAAAAATCGGTGAACCGGTCATTCGAAGGCATTACACTAACCGGCTGGTTCACCTCAAACTGGTCACCCAAAATTTCCGAACCCACTTGGTTTGATAGGTATTTTCTTCCTGAATCCAGAACTGGTCCAACTTCCCAATCTGAGTCCATTTTACCACTAAACGGCTGGTCAAACCTTGGACGTTTCTGGCCGGTTTAGTCAACTCCAAACCCTTATTCCAAAAATCCTAGGCTATACTATCCCTTGCTATCCCCAACCTGACCTTATCCCCAATTTCTTGTCCTCTTGGAATAGCCTATCTAATCTTCCTTTCTGGGTCAACTTGGCTGAGTTGACCAGCTTGTACCACACTAGGCAAGTTGACCCAACGGGTCAACTCATCCCAGCTCATCTAGCTTGGCCCGCGGCTCAGCCCGCGGGCCTGCCGCCTTTCTGGGCCGAGCCCAACCCAACAGGGGCGGGCCGGCCCAGCACAGGGACCCGGACCCATCTGGGTCCCTTCTTCCTTACCCGGGCCCCT